TCGCCAGGATCTCTCGCCAGGATCTCCAGCCAAGTTCTGGTCTGGATCTCCAGCGAAGTTCTGGTTCGGTTCTCTCACTAGGTTCTCCAGCCAGGTTCAGTCGCCAGGTTCTGTAGCCAGGTTCTCTTGCCAATTTCTATAGTCAGGTTCAGTCCAGGATCTTTTGCCATGTTCTCTCCAGCAAAGTTCTTCTGTCTGTAGGTTCTGTCTTCTAAGCTCTGTCTCTAAGTTCTGTGTTCTAAGTTCTGTGTTCTAAGTTCTGTAAGTTCTGTCTCTCAATTCTGTCTCTCAGTTCTGTCTCTCAGTTCTGTCTCCTTCTGTCTTGTTGCATCTGTATTTATACCGGTTGATTCTAAACCTATCAATCTCTATTCCAAAGGTTAGGACGTTTCTTATCTCCATTCCAGGGAGTAAAGATTATGTAGCTTAAGCATGATTTTTTGTAGTTAAAGTGATTAATTACCCGCCTGGCACTTAGTTAAGAGGTTTTATTCCCTCCCTAACTTCAGGGGAAAATACCTGACTGGGGAAACAACCTTTCTCGGAGAGGTGACCTTGGTTAAAACACAGCGCCAAGAAGGTGAGCAAACATATTAAGAACAGTATGCCATATATGCCAGGTCCCTTGAAACAGCAAGGATGGACCAGCTCCCAGCAATGGCGGACTGGTTACACCAGAGGAGTGGGCACTACAGTGACTCAATAGCATGGCACATATTTAAGGAGGCAAGGCTGCCTTTAAAATATAGTATCTGGCCGTGGCTGGTGTTGCTCAGTGTTCAGAGCATCAGTCCACACACTGAAGGGTCTCAAGTTCAATTTTTGGTCAAGGGCATGTACCTGGCTTGCAGGTTCTCCCCCCACCTCCGACTGGGGTGCATGCGAGAGCAAACCAGTCGATGCGTGGATGTTTCTCCCTTTTTCGCTCTCTCCCCCGCTCTCTTTAACCCTCCCCTTCCCTTCTACTCTCTCTGAAAAGCAATGGAAAAAATATCCACAGGTGGGGATTAACAAGAAAATACAGTGATCTGGTTGATGCAGTTGTGTCCTACCCTGTTTTTTCCAACAACACCCTGGACAACAACCACAAGAATCTAGGGCCATCCACTAAAGCCCTCAATTGATAAGGGACTGGAGCACTGACTACACAGGCCCTCCCCCTTGAGTAAGGGCTCCAAATATGCTCTGATGTGTGTCCACACTGACTGGTTTAACTCAGGCCCTCTCATGTGAGCGAGCTAATCAAGTTGCCACTGCAAAGGGACTAGAAAAGTTAAGCACTATGTATGGGCACTCCCATCGAATACATAGGGTCAAATTTCAAAGGCCATGATGTATAGGAATGGGTGCAAGAACAAAATATTAAATGGAAAGTACACCTCCCATAAAACCAGAGGCAGCCAGGCAGGGGGAATGAAACAAATGGTATCCTTAAACAACAGATAGTTAGTGATTACAAAACCTACTTTGGCTGGGTGGGCAAAGATAAGGACCTTCCCAGGAGTTAACACATTTAAATGCTCAACCATGGGGCCTATTGCCCCATATGCCAGATTAAGAACTCATGCTGAAACATCTAATACAGTAAACGCATGAAAAACAAAGGATGTAGCAATAGTCCTGATGCTTGAGATGGATCAACAGCTATGATACTAAGGACACTGAGCCCTACTGTCCCTGGGAAGGGGACCACTTACTGGAATTTGCAGTGGGACGTCCCACCCAGATAGATCAGTTCCTTCATACCCACTGATGGGGAGAAACCCCTCAACCTCGGGCAGGATCCTGTTATTCTAATGCAATCAGAACCTGTGGAGACACACTAGATATGGACTGAGCCATGTACCATTAAAATGGGAGAAAATAGGGGCCCTGGTCTGGTATATCCCCCCTTTTCACCTCTTTACATCAGAGAGCACCTCCCCATGACAGATAGTACCACCTCCCCTGGCCAACATGCAGAGTTATAGAGCCTGGCCAAGTTCCCAAGGCTGGGGCACATTAACATCTAAGTTCAGGCTAAAAGTATAATGCTTATAGAAGATGACCTCCCAACTCAAGTCCCTACTAAATATTTGTCTTTCTGACCTTACACTTCTGCTATTCCTGTGGCATGGAGTTACAGCATTTTATTTTTAATACCAGATGAGTCTGCCAAATTCTCCTCTTTACTAGTACCCACATAAAAAACCAAGTGACGGTTTGGCTCAGTGGATAGAGCGTCGGCCTGCGGACTGAAAGGTCCCAGGTTCGATTCCGGTCAAGGGCATGTACCTAGGTTGCGGGCACATCCCCAGTAGGAGATGTGCAGGAGGCAGCTGATCTATGTTTCTCTCTCATCGATGTTTCTAACTCTCTATCTCTCTCCCTTCCTCTCTGTAAAAAATCAATAAAATATATTTAAAAAACAAAAAAAACCCAAGTGAACGCTTTAAGTGACCTACCCACAAGCTGAGGAGACTATTAACACATTGGCTTGAATCTTGGGGGGCATGGTAGAAAAAACTGTTACTAACACTTGGAGTATTTCTTTTAATTTGCCTTTTTTCTTGTATGTGGCTATATTGTGGCTGTAGGCTATGTCTCCAATGTGTCCAAATTGGCAATCAAGCAAGCTACTTCCATGTTAAAACCTTTGTTGACCACTTAGGGTACATCGTGGAAGAGGGATGCATGAGATTATAAGATCCAGCTTCAAGGAGTGGAGTGTGAAGGAGAGGCTGTCCTAAGGCATGGCCTGCTGCCTGACCTGTGAGCTGGAACCAAGATGAGGGAAGTTGGGGGGTGGGGAGGAGAGATTGCTTCTCTCAAACCTCCATTGGAAACTGTCTGCTCATAATCAATGTTTGCTCTGATATAAACCAGCACCCCTCCTTGCCTCCTACAACATGCTCGGACCTGGAACAAGCCATTGTCCTGACCTGGTCGAGCATGTGCTGTCCCATAGCACTCATGTGACTATCCCCCACTTCACCCTATGTAATTCTCTGGCACTTGCCAAGCAGTACAAGAATCCATTTCATCTTGCAGACACCCAGCACATGCTTTGTACGCACGTTTCCCTTAATAAACTCTACTAATTACCAAACTGGAATGGTCAGCCTCTTTCTTTGGTCTTTTCCTGCCCCCTGCTTACAGAGGTAGATTTTCAGTCCCAGGACCTTCCTCTGGGTCTGCATGTACTAACAACATTGGGTAAAAAAATGTGCTCTTTATGAGATGGCCCTGCCATATCAAATGTGTTAGCTCTAATGGCCTCATTTTCAGTATTTAATGTCAGCTTCCTAAACATCTGTTGCTGCTAACTCAATAGAAACCACTGAGAGAGAAAAATGATCCCAAGTATCCCTACATTACTACCAAACTTCACATTCTTCATAACTACCTTTGCAAACCCACAAACAGAAGGTAGCAATCGACTTCTGAATACACATTAAAAATATATAGTATCAACTGCCCAATCAGTGGATATTCCAAGAGTAAAAGAGAAAAAACCCTCATTTCTAAGAAATGAAGGTAAATAAACATCAGGTGTAAGAAATGAATGCCCTATCTTGTAGATATATTACAGTAGTCTTAATGTTGGGAAATTTCCATATGTTGTGAAATAAAGACCATACCTTCCCCTGGATTTGTCCACAAGATTTTCTGGAGAGACCCTTGAACCTGGTCTTTGGTGGTGGATAGACTGAGACTGAGATTCTGGGCTGTAATGATTTGATGTTTTAGTCCTCACAGGTGTAGACACCAAAGCAGATGGTGAATTTTGGAATGTTGAAGTGGAAGGCTGCTGGGGAGGCTGGGAGGAAACTTGATTTCTAGCAAAATCTTGTGTGATAATTTGCTGTGAATAAGAAAAAAAAATTAATTAAATTCACTGAGTACTTGGGGAAAAAATGCAGCATTGAAAAACCTAGACATCATTACTGTGATTCTATGTGAAATGTGCCTTCTTTATGATAAAAATAAGGAAAATTACTAATAATAAAAAACTTACACAGATGTGATCAGCAAGTGTGATGAGTCTGTGGGTCCTGGGCACTTGCCCCTCAGCCTGTGAAGTGGGGGGCAGCTGCTGCTGCGGAGACGGTGACTCCTGCTGGGGTCGATAGTGATGTAATGGTCCTTCGTATTGTCTGGCGTCAGCTGATAGAGGAAAGACAGATGTCTTACATCTTATCAAAGATCAAACAAAACTCAGAGGAACACTTAAAGGCATGTAGTACATATCTCTAAACAAAATTCATATCTTAATTTTGAAGAAAAATATTTATTTACTGAATAAATAAAGAATCTAGAGGATTAATATAAAATAAAAATTGAAATCGTAAGTGAGCAAAACAAAATTAATACCAACTATTTACTATATCATTAAAATATAATAAGCAAATGAATTATCAAATAATAGCTTAAAATAGTTTTTCATTAATGTAGATTACTCTAAAACAAAACCAAAAAAACAAATTTTTTCTTAACATGCTCTGGACAGACAACTAGAAGCAAATGATAAATGCAAATATGAAAACATAAACTGGTGGCTAAAAAAGACATACTTTCTGCTTGATTTGCCTTCACAACCTCTGGCTGATAGGCCTGTGGTTTCTCTGGAGGTGGTGCAGGGGAGCTGGCAGGGCTTATCACCTCAATAGCATCGCCAGGTGTTTCATACCGGTGAGAAGATACTTCAAGAGAAAAAAAGAATCTTATTTTAAAACTAACCCTATGAAAGTTTCAGAAGTCCAAGTTCTTCAAATCTATTTGCATATTTTCATTTTTCATTCTCAGAAATGTTCACCCAGATTAATGATAAAAAATAATGAGCTCAATGGACCATAATTGCTTCCTCGGTGTTCCTAATCTTGGTAGGAATTTTGGGCTCTAAGACCATTAGGTGAGGCAGAATAAATAACAGATTTGTGACATTCCCCTAGGAGCTGGAAAAGAAAATTACCAGAAATAAACAAACATTAGAACAAATTTAACAAATGAGAGAGTAGATCTCAACAGTTCACTGTTTCCAATAACTTTAATTCTATGGGGCAGTCAGCTCAGCTTGTAGAAAAACTCTGAGGCTACAAAGCTGCTTCATTACCATGATTTTAAAGCTACAGATTAAGTAACATGATATATTTTCTCAAATCACTGTAGTATTGTTGACAAAAATTACTCCAATTTTTTTGCACCATGTCACATTGTGAAGATGAACAGAAATGGTAGGGAATGTGTGAAGGGAGGCGAATCACTCCCTTGGCAGAGAGGGAGCATGTCCGCACCGGAGAAGGGTCCCTGCGATGTGGCTCCTCGTCTATGCAGTAGGGGTCCAGGCAGCTTGTCGAGCCCTGCCATGGCCTCAGAGCTGAGAATGGGGGAGAGGCAGATGTGACCTCCTACTCGGGAACCTTCTGACTTCTGAGTGCTCTTGGCATCTGCATACTGTACCAAGGAACCTGAGAAAACTGCCAGAGGCCCAAAGGATGTATGATCCTGGAATGATCAGCAAGTGTGACTAGTCAATGGGCCTGGCACTGTACATAGATGGGAATGAATGCTCCTCAAGCCCCGCCTGCTCCTCCAGGGCTCATCTGCAGCACAGCCCTTTCCTCCGACCCTTGCCAGGCCGTGGGAGTTACAGCTGCCTAAATGCCAGGATGCTCAGGAGAACAGGAACCTGGTAATTGGGATGAAAATGATCTTTGGGGAACAAAAATAAAGCACTATACTTGCGACTTTTTATACACACTGGTACATATCACACGGTTTATGAGCCCACATCCTAACTCTGCTTACCACATCAAGCTAGTCAACAGAAACCTAATGCAACTGTGTCCACTTCGCTCTGAAAGCCTGAAATGTGGGTGAAGGTTGTGCTTCACCTGAAGAGGGGAGGCTCTGACAGAAAAACTGAAAGCCACACTGAATAACAATAGCTAGTGGGCTTCATGAAAGTAATTTACCTAATTAGAAAAAAAAACAAAACAAAGCAAAGCAAAAAACACCACACTCAGAAACACCAACACTCAGAAAAGAAGCCAGACTTTCTATTGCCAGACCTTTTGAAAGTCAAACTCCCAGAGCGAGGTTTGGTTTGTGCGTAAACTGAAAAGAAGTTCCCCGTGATTAGAGAACTGTGTGTGGTGGCATTCAAAAAGCCACAGGTGGTCACCACGTGTGCGGGGACTTCCCTCCAAAGGTCCTATTCGTGGAACTGCAGAGCTTCCTCAGCACGTACACTACTGTGTGAATTCCCCTAATCCCAGGCCAAAGGAAGTCTCTGTCTACCCAACTACCAAACTGCCCCCATCTCTCCAAAAACTGCAGGAATGGAGGAGATATTTACCCAAACAAATCAAAATCAGGCATGGAGGTAAAAATAACTGCACGCTGCATACTGATGCACCAGAAATCCTATTTTTCCCATTACCTCCAAATCTACTCAATTTCATTAATGAAAACAACAGAGAGATGGCTATATATGGTTAAATTACTTCAAATATTTGCAGATGTTTGTGTAAATACCTGTTTGTTCCTTCAGGAATTTTATAAAGAATTTAGGCAATAGTTAAAAATAAATTTAAAGTAACTTATCCAGCATTTTACTGTAGATTTGTGAATTCTTACAGACCTACAAAGTAGACATCAAAGTGACCAGACTTCATCAAAATCCACTTGCAGCCTACCAAAGACCAACACTAAGGCGGCCTCCCTTTTAAGAGGCTTTGGGGTATCAGCCTAAATACTGAGCCATATCCCAGAAAGCGCTGCTTGAGGAATTACGCCTCAGCAGCACAGAGCTGAATGACACATCTATCACCGTTCAGATGTCTGAAAATGTCAGTAAGCTCTGCCCTCGGCCTATCTACTTTCCAACCTTAATAAAGAGCATAATTTTCTCATGCAAGATAACTTGAAAGGTATCCACAAGAAATGCTGACATTTAAGTAACCATAAAAACAGCAGAAGAGACATCATTGCACTACTAACCCACAAAACCTTTCTATTACATTTCTATCAAGATCAGGATTTTCTTTATGCCATATTGTTCTGCATTGCCTAAGGAATAAAGTAATCTTTACTCAGATATCACATTACGAAACTCAGATGGAGATACATACAGCTACTAGAAGAGTCTGAGCTTTGAGAGCCACGTTCCCTCGCATCCTTGTCCGAGGCAATTTGCCGGGTGATGATCACGTCTATGAAGTTAGCTGCAGTAATGGTAGTCTTCCCTCGGGTCCTTAGCTCTTCCTCATATCTGGATTTTGGAGGAGGCCCTTTATCTTTCCCAGCCTCAGAATAAACTACTGAAGAGTGAGGCTGGGGCTTGCCACTTGGAAAGGCTGAAGAAGTGTACAGACACTGAACAGGTCTCTTCTCCACCTCCAGGGTTTTCTGCTCTAGCTGCTGCTGTTCACTAACTGCTGCTGACCTGCTTCTCAAATTTTCTTCTAACCTGGCAGCTTCATGCTTACTCTCTTTTGTTTTGGAAACATCCATCTGGGGGGCAGAAGCTGCAGCATCCACAAGAGCAGCCAGGGCATCTGCAGCAGTGTTGTAGCGGGAGGTGGGCAGGCCTTGGCTTAGCGAAGGGCCCCCCGCAGGCAGTGGCCTGTAAATAAAACCAAACACAGCTGTGAAGGGGAGGCTCTGTACTGGGGGGGAAGGGGGGACGGGGTGTGCAGTGGGGAGATGGAAGGACAAACTGCAACAACAACAACAAATGTTTAGTGGGTAGTAAATCAGTACTAAAATTATTGCAATCACATACTAAAAAGTGTGTATGCAAGAAAGTGGTGTTTTTTGTTTTTTTATAAAAAAAAAAAAAACCCACACAAAACTTACATGATTCGTAGCTGAGCACTTGGATCCAAAGGTGTAATTACACTGGTTCCATTGGTTCCCTGGAAAACACTGGGTCTCTGTTGCAATATGGTCTCCTGAGCTCGCACTGAAGGGGACGGGGAGCGAACATATCCATGACTGCCGGGTCGGCCAGGCTGTTCTGAGCCTTCAGGGGGCAGAAAAAAAAACAAAAAAAAGGGCAAGTCATAAGGAAGAAGCTAGAGACAGCAACATTTAGGGACTGTTCACTTCATAATATTCCTAAATAGGTAAAAGGAACATGAGATAAGAAATTGATATCCCACCTTCTGGCCTTTGTAGAAACTTGTTCTGTAAGAGTTTCTTAATAAAGATGCAAGAAAACCACACTAGTAACATGAAACAAAAGCACCAGCTATCATTTGTCCTTGCCATTTGTGACAAGTTTCCATCTTGATTCCAGAGAGAAACAAAAATAAGACTGATAGTAAAGTACAGATCAGCCTTTTCCTCAGACTCTGGTGTGTTTATCATTTCCCAGATCAAATCCGGTGCAGCTTTCCAAGGATCATAATGAAAGTAACATACTGCTGCTCCCTGGGTGTCAGGCAGTTTCATTCACCCAGTTCTTCCTTCCCCGCTCCTTTCCTGCCCTCCACAAGGACCTGTTTCTCTCAGCAAACCCTCTTTTTATTTTTTAATCCTCACCTGAGGAAATGTTTTTACTGCTTTTTTAAAGAGAGAGAGGGGGAGAGAGAGACACACATTGATGTGAGAAACATCCATCAGTTGTCTTCTCGTACATGCCCCGACTGGGGATCAAAACCACAACCTTTTCGTGTAAAGGGCGATGTTCCAACAAAATGAGCCACTGGACAGAGCAGCAAGCCCTCTTTGACATGAAATCATCTACACTGACCTTCCCAAAAGCGCAGCTCCACAAACTACACTTCTTCAATATTTGAGACTTTTTTTGTTCACCTAACCTTAGCTCTTTTTTTTTTTTTAATATATTTTATTGATTTTTTACAGAGAGGAAGGGAGAGGGATAGAGAGTTAGAAACATCGATGAGAGCGAAACATCGATCAGCTGCCTCCTGCACATCCCCCACTGGGAAGCGCCTGCAACCCAGGCACATGCCCCTGACCGGAATCGAACCCGGGACCCTTCAGTCCTCAGGCCTACACTCTATCCACTGAGCCAAACCAGTTTCGGCCTAACCTTAGCTCTTGACTGGTCAAAACTATTTTACTCAGAAGCCCTCAAATTGCTGCTCTAATCACTTTCTTTTCTTCCACCTCTTGTTCTAAGCCCTCACTCTGACCTTCTTACTCTTTGTCCTCAGAAGAGCTAGCAGTCTCAGTACACACCCGTTCTCATAGCAGGTAGCACCTAGGGCAGCTTTTTTGGCAATTTTATCACTTCTGACCACACATCAGCTCATGTGATTGTTTCTATAGGTTATATTCCCAGGAGTAGAATTGCTATTTAAATATTTATATCTCTGAAAAGGCTCTCCCCATCTGCACTGCCACTTATAATGTGTGAGAACCAGTGTTTCTTCAGACACTGCAACACAGGACATTATCAACCTATGAACTATGGAGAACAAAAATGGTATTTTATTGTGTTAAATCTGCATGTTATCCATCAGTGGGACCGCAGATACTTTTAAAATATAGTT